CAGCCTCACCTGGGAAGGGGAGGAAGGCGTGTGGTGTGGACGCAGGAAGGTGGGTGGCGTGGACGCAGCCTCACCTGCAGGAAGGGGACGAAGTCCTCCTGCACCAGGTAGTTGCAGCCGGGGTTCATGAGCAGGTGGACGAACTTGGCGGCATCGTCGTGGCAACCATGCAGGACTCTGCAACGACACTGAGGATTCGGTGCCCTCCCCGCGCACAGCTGCACACAGGCCCCTCCGCGGGTGCAGGGGCGCAAGGACGGGGCCTCGACGGGCGGGGAGGGGACGATGGCTCCGCCAGGGCCCCGCCTGCAGCGCTAGTTTCTTCTCGCTGTGCGGCTGCACAGCGCAGGGCCCAGATCAGCCGGCGCTGGGCACTAGCAGGACCCGGGGACCCCTCCACCCCCACCCCCGACGCCCACTCCCTGTGCCCCGGACTCACTTTCTCCACATGGCGACGAACTTGTGCACAGACACGGAGCCCGTGCGCTCTCCGCCGGCGCCGCAGAAGAGAGGCGCCTTCCAGTACAGCGGGCAGCCGCAGGCCTGCGGCACGAGAGGCAGAGGAGGGCGTGAGGGGGACCCGGACACCCCGCAGCTCCCGCCGCAAACCGCCAGCTCCGAGCGACACCCCGCAACCCGGACCTCTGCCGGGGAAAGACCTGGTGCGGCCCCCACGCCCCAGCACGGCAGGGGCAAGCGCGACTGGGCCAGAAAACGCAAAGTCGGCCCTGCTCCTGGACGCGAGGGTGCTGCTCTTTCCAGCCTCTGCAGGAGGCCCCGGCAAACGGTCCCTCCGCTGAGCGCAGAGACAGCGAGTCTGCGCCCATAGCCAGCGGGAACTGCGGTCCCCACGATTGTAGAAACGACGCAGCTCACTGCCTGTCGCCCGTTCTCGAAGGACTACGTGACCACGTAAGCAGAAACTATCCTGGACGTGACAGTAACGAAAACATCGCACGTCAGAACTCGTGGGTCACGGCCACGGCCACGGCGGCGAGCTGTGGCAGGTCCACGGCGTTAAAGGCCTGCGTTAGAAAAGGAGGTGGGCAATAAAGGGCGGGCATGAAAGAAAAAGAAAGCGAATGTTCAACAGAGAAAACCCACAAACCCCAAAGTCGACGTTTGAAAACTTTTCAAAAAATTGATTGACATTTAGCAAAAGTTCAAGAACAGACGAAAGAAAACACAAATCGCCGCCATCGACTGTTACCGCAGAGTCTGCGAACACCAGAGAGACAGTCAGTGGACGCTCATGTGTGAGTTTGCAAATAAACCGGATGAGTCTGGTGGAGGACACTGATTTCCTGATCAACACGTGTAACCAAGACGACGCACGCAGAAAACCTGCACGGCCCTGCATCTCTTCCTTTGGGAAACCCACACGGAAAACTTTCCCCACAAGAAATCCCAGACCCAGAAGCCCTCGCCAGTGGGTTCCACCGAGTGTGTAAGGGAGAAATCCCGCTCGCACTTCCAGACAACAGGAACACGGGACATCTCCCAGTCTCGTCTGGAGGCCTGTGTGTCCCTGACAGCAAACCGGCAAGGACACGGGAAATCGCAGGCCGGTTGTGGCTCAGTGACACACAGTCACACACAGAATGCACATTACCATAGTCACTGCGGCTGCATTTAAAAATTCAAGATAGGTCGGGCGCGGTGGCTCACGCCTGTAATCCTAGCTCACTGGGCGGCCAAGGCGGGGAGGATCGTTTGAGCTCAGGAGTTCGAGACCAGCCTGGGCAAGAGCGAGACCCCGTCTCTACCAAAAATAGAAATTAGCCAGACAACTGAAAATATAGAAAAAACTAGCCAGGCGTGGTGGTGCATGCCTGTAGTCCCAGCTACTCGGGAGGCTGAGGCAGGAGGATCGCGTGGACATCACACAAGACCCTAACAACGTGGAATCTCACGACATCACACCAGTAACCTTGGTGACTCGGACGAAACACAGACACGTGGAGGACGGAGACCGCCAAGGCTCACTCAAGAAAATGCAGACAGCTGAGTCTGTTAAAAATTTGAAATCGTGGATAAAATCTTCCCCACAGAGAAGACTCCAGTCCCAGGTCACTGCGCTGCCGAATTCTACCAAACATTCCAGTAAAAGACGATAAACGCCAGTTCTAACCGACGGCTCCAGCAAAGAGAACAGGAGAACGGTTCCCGGCCGGCCCCGAACCCCCAGCCAGAGCGCGGCTCAGTCGGTCCAGTGTCTACGGGACTGCAGAAGAGGAGACACAGGCAGACAGCACCCGATGAGACTCACGCATCCGCGATTTCAAAGTGTGACATAAAGAAACTCTCGGGAAGGCAGGACCACAAGGGAACATCGTCCTCCGTCTGCCTCAGGACGCTGAGCCGCACGACAGACGTCCCCAGAGATGTCCCCGCCAGCCAACGAGTCAGGAAGGAGGACACATGGGAAGGGAAGGGAAGGGTCCCACTATCCCCTGGGAAGGTGACACGACCGTGCACCAGGCACCAATGGAACGGACGGAGCCGCAGTGTGAGCTGAGGTCGTCACGGAGGCAGCGCCCACCACAGAGAAGGGCAGTCCCGCTGACACCAGCCGTGAACGTCCCCGCCGAGGTAAAGCCGCCGTCCGCAGCGTCATCAGAACCAGGCGCCGCGTGGGTGTGAGCTCTGACGGGAGGTGACCTGTTGCGCACGGCAACGCCCCGGAGCAGCAGCGCAGACGGGGAAGACTCAGGTTATGGGGGAGCTCCTGTGCCCCCCAGGCGGACCCCGCAGCACTGTGGGGGTCTCGGTTTTCCTAAATGATCTGCACGGACCACACGCTCCCAATCCCACCGCGGTGGAACTTTCTGGTAGAAACGGAGAAGCCAATTCTGAGGTTCCTAGGCAGGAATGTGACCTGGGGCAGCCGCCGCGGGAGAGCAGGGACGTGCCTCGGAAACCGCAAACGGAGCTACTGAGGACGTGGCAGTCCCGCCGCTGGGTACGGTCACAGGTCCAAAGAACCCTCCGGAAGGTCTTGGAGAGGCGTCTGCACCCCCATGTTCACTGCAGACAAATGGCACAAAGAGCCCAAACGTCCACCGACAGAGGCGGGTGAAGGAAGCGTGCTCTGTGCGCACAAAGGCTCACGGCGCCTCGACCAGGGGAAGCCGCCACAGCGCAGAGCGGCCCGGAGCGCACGCCAGGCCCAGGAGGTGAGTTCTGAGTGATCTCACGCACGAGGCGCCTGACACCGTCCGACTCATGGCAGCAGAAACAGGATGGCGTTTACCGGGGACGGCACGGGGAGGGAACGGGGACCTGCTGTTCGTTGGGTGCAAAGGCTCGGTTACGCGGAACAGGCCCAGGGCCGCGAGAAACGGCGCCTGCAGGTGGAAAACCCACGAGCACTTAAAACTTAGGAGGGCAGATGTGACGTGACATGTTCTTACGCACACACACACACACACACACGCACACGCACACGCAGAACGACACAGGACACTTCTGCAGGTGGCGGGTGTGTTTGCCGCCTCGCCTGCGGCGACAGTCTCCCGGTGTCCGAGTACGCGCAGACGCGTCAGATCGCGACATGAAACGCGTGGAAGGTTTTTGTGTATAGATCGTAGCTCAGTAAGGCTGTGAAAAACAAATAAAAATAATGTTCTCACGGCAGTGCCAAGAAACGGAGGCAGCCTCCCCACTCCTGAGAAAGAAGGAAGGAAGAGGCAGGCAGAGCGAGCCCGTCTGACGTCAGCGCGTCCTGCGTGGCGCAGACGACGCGGTGCCGCATGGGGGATGGACACGCGCCCGTCACAGCGAACAGCTCCGGCAGCTGCAGAAACACTGTCCATGGACAGGAGAACCTGCCGCACGGCTGTGTGACACGCGCTTCGCCTGCACTCCCTGAGCAGCACACACGTGACGGCAGCAAAACCACCCAGTCCTACACACGGGCACACGGTCCGAGCCATCAGTCACCGGGAAATGCGGATTAAAACGACAACGAGATCCTTCCACGTGCCCATCAGAACGGCCACGATCAAAGAGGCGCCGCACCAGGCACTGGTGGGGACGCGGCGGTGGGAGCCCTCGCGCACCGATGGTGGGGACGCGGCGGCGGCAGCCCTCGCGCACTGCTGGTGGGGACACACCCTGGTGCGGCCACCGCGGGAACAGGCCACGGTGCCCCAGTGAGTTACACCCAGAGTCACCACGCGGCCCGACAGCTGCTCTCGCAGCGCCGTGTGTACACACACACACACACACACACACGCGCGTGCCCTGAAAAGAGGGACTCGAGGAAATACTTGTGCAAACGTTCCCACGAGTCCCGACACCCAAGAGGCGGGAGCGATCTGTGTCCGCTAACGAGGGAGGCACGGGCAGGACGTGGTGTGCACGCACACGCGTGGTCACCACGCAGCCGTGACGATGCCCTGACACGTGTCACGACCCGGATGGACCCTGACGAGAAGACGTGGCGTGGAAGAAAACATACGCGGGAGGTCGCGTGTCATGTGGTCCATTCACGTACAGGAAAAATCCAGAACGGGCCGGTCCCGAGAGACAGAAACCAGGTCCGTGATGCCCGGGCTGGGAGGGGACGGGGAGCGGCGGCTAACGGGACGAGGCCTCCTTCTGGGTGATGAGAATGTTCCGGAATAAACGGTGACGATGCTCACGCAACACCACACGTGCAATAAATGCCTCTGAATTGTGTATTTCGAATGGTTAAAACGGTGAACTGTGTCATGTGAATTGCACCGCAGTAAACAGACGCCCGTCCTGTGATTCTGTTTACAGAAAATTGTAAAACTCCAAGCTCGTTTGTCCGCGGTGACCGAAAGGAGACCCCTGGTAGCCTGGGGTCGGGTGGGGACGTATTAGGAGGCAACAGGGTTTAAAGGACGTTTGAGTTTAAGGGAGGCTGGAAACACCTCCTGTCCCGACTGTGTCGCTGGTTTCGTGGGCGCTCACGAACGTCAAAGCTCATTACATTGCACGCTTTCCACGTGCCGGTCATCCCACCTCAATTATACGTCAGGAAAGTTGTCAAAAAGTAAAAAGATACACTGCTGAAAAATGCACACATAGTCAGGTGTTCAACATGCTCATCAGGGAAACGAAAAGCTAACAGGACACGTCTACACACGCTGCAGAACGGCTAAAATTTAAAAACAGCGTCAACACCAAGAGCCGCGGAAGGGGTGGTCTCGTCCACTGCTGGCCGGACACGCGTGGCGGGCGGCCACGCTGGACAACGTTCCTACAGTTCCTTGTGAAACTGAACACAGGGCCACCAGGGATGTACCCCACAAATATACACGACTGCTATTTGTCCATGAAAAATAAAGTTAAAAATTAAACAGCATATGGTAGCGAAAGATGTCAGGAACCAACAAGAAACTGCACGACTCCACTCGTGTGACATTCTGGAAATGCAACGCCACAGCCGCGGAAGCACGGCCGCCGCTCGCCCGGGCCGGGCGGGAAGGGGACACCCGCCGCAGGAGGCGGCGCGGGGAGGTTTGGGGGTGACTGGTGTTCCATGTCGTTGCTGCGGCGTGTGCATTTACCAAAATGTTTCAAACTGGTGAACGTTAGTGTGTGTAAATCATATCCCAATAAAGCTGAACAAACACAGCGTTCGATTGAAGAGGCTGGAAA